GCTCGGGCAAATCGAGATCGCGCCGTGTTATCGATAGCAGCGTATCGAGAACCCCGTGCGAACGAACCCCGCCGTAGGGTGCGTGTGCGCGCGCATGAAACCACCCCAACGGGACGCACACCCTCAACGTGCTTATCGATCCGGTGTAACTGCACGTACTGGTGAATTTGTCGGTTGAGGCTTAAACCAAGAGACGAGTGTCGCACGTGCGAAGGCGAGATAAACGGGCGCGTGCAATTGCGGAGTGCAACAAAAACGATCTCAATCGAGTGCGCTCGCCCGCGTAATTAACACCAGATACCGTAATTAAGCCGATATCTTATCACCGCCTCGGCAGACACATCCGCGAGAGGTCGGACGAGCGCCCCGACCGAGTGAGTGGACAAATGTGAAAACAGATCAGACCGAACTCGACGTCGTGGCCGCCATAACAAATAGGAGTGTATCTTCGGGGAGGTAGGCACTAAGGCCGGTATTTAGTCCGTTCTTATATTTAAGATCATCTTAAGTATACTCTTAATGTGTCTTTAACCAATCACAGAGCCGTATTAGCCTCTTAAGACAACACTTAAGATGATTTTGAAATAAGAATCGACTATGAATACCGACCTAAGACGCGTCACTTGTTAATTTTCTGCGAGAAAAATAACGGGCTAGGATTAGACTAGGATTCGATTCTGGGACCTTCCGCTCGCCGGACGAATGCTCTTTCAACTGAGCTGTCCAGACCCACGAGAATGTCTCCTTCGTTTCTTCCATTCCGCATACCTTCCTTTCCTGCCTTCGACCGATCTGATGTCGACATAACTTCGAAATCTACGTCTGAGGTAACTCGGCCGGCCAAGATTGTCACTGTAGATTAGCGTGACAAGCGCGAAGAATACACCGAAAAAAAGTGTTGAATAAAAAATACATCTCTTAATTGATTCAGCTCTATGCGGCGGTCACGGGCTGTCAAAGAAATATTCGTTAATTCAAAAAGCTACTTAATTTAAAAACATATCTATTTAATCTTAAAGATATACACTGCAAAAATTAGGTGTGCTTGATGTGTGTTCAATGTGTGTAGAAATATTCTAACACATAACACACTTTATTCACGTGTATTGAATAACTGCTCTGTTAATACTACACGTCTGAAACGGAATATCCGTTTTGCAATACACATAAGTGTGTAGTTTTAATATAGTTAGATTGTTATACTTACAAGGGACCGTTTCAAAGTGTCGTCTTCCGATTTGGATGAGCTTTGAATATGTTATTTTCCAGCTAAAACTAAAAGACACGTATTTTTTTATACGTGCCCTAACGCGCTTTTAGGGGGTGAAACACCCCTGTGAAAAAAATCGGTTTTTCTCTTTCGATGCGAATATCTCCGAAACTATAAGAGATAGAAAGTTCTCTTTTTTTTTTAATTAAATGGTTTCAAAAGTACTACAAAATGGCGAAAGAAAAAATTTTATTTTTTTAAATTTTGCAACATACCCCCCCCCCCACACAAGTTTTTAAAACTTTTAAAACTTTGTTGCCACCAAACAAAAGGTTATTTTTTTACGAATTCAAACATATATGATAAAGTTTCGTTTCGTAAAACCATTATCGAGAAATAATTAAAATCGCCTCTGTATATGCGCTATTTGGCCGTCCATGCGACCGAGTCTTCACGCAACACGTTGTTCCTGTAATAAGAGATAACAAATACACTTGGGGGATATTCTAACTATATATAATCATAATGGAAATTTTTATTGCGCACCGCTGGACCACTTATAATATTTCAATATCAGATAAGTCAGATAGGTATGTAAATGTCTAACCACAGAATCTAATTTCTGTGCGAAATGACGCACAATCGAGGAAACCGACGCGCCTATACAATATTCTTAACTCAGTTCAGAGTCATTCACTGCACAATAAACATGTAACTTCTGCATACACTCGTAAGACTCACTCTTTATCATATTGTATATAACTATTGTTTAGCCATTCATTGTCTACGTTTATCACGAGACACGGTAGTGTCTCGCGCCAAGTGTAAGCGTAGCTAGTACACGCGTTTATTTGTATACCGCAGTGAACGCCGATTGTATCGCTTGAAAAGGACCACAAACCGTATGGTCAAAATGTAGTTTATATGAAATGAAGCACCTGCCACTTAGGTCGTACAAAAATTCATTAATTAATTATTTACTGGCGACAATAAAATTTTGTTTATTTTTTGTTTTTATTTAAAATATATATTATTCATTACTTATTTTTATATTATTGATTCATTTTATACATTTCATACAGTTTTAGAATGATTATTTACCTATGTGCTTTATCAATTAAACAATAAATGTCAATTAAATGATTTTGATTTTATACACTGAAAATACACAAATCGTACATTATTTTAAGTCAAATTTGAAATTATTCCGTTGAAAACTGTAGAAGTTATAAGCAAATGATCGAGAAATGAGGCGTTCGCCCCACTGTGCGCGGCGAGACGGTCATTTGGTAAAAATAATCGATTAAATGATTCACCTAGTGACGCCTGTAATTAATTGCCATTGACCGTCTCGGTTTCCTGTTTCCTGAACGTGCGACATTTCGCATAGAAATTAGATTCTATTCTATGAAAACAATGGGTAGACATTTACATACCTATCTGACTTATCTAATATTGAAATATTATACGTGGTCCAGCGGTGCGCAATAAAAATTTCCATTATGATTATATATAGTTAGAATATCCCTCAAGTGTATTTGTTATCTCATATTACAAGAAAAACGTGTTGCGTGAAGACTCGGTCGCATGGACGGCCAAATAGCGCATATACAGAGGCGATTTTAATTATTTCTCGATAATGGTTTTACGAAACGAAACTTTATCATATATGTTTGAATTCGTAAAAAAATAACCTTTTGTTTGGTGGCAACAAAGTTTTAAAAGTTTTAAAAATTTGTGTGGGGGGGGGGGGGGTATGTTGCAAAATTTTAAAAAATTAAAATTTTTTCTTTCGCCGTTTTGTAGTACTTTTGAAACCATTTAATTTAAAAAAAAGATAACCTTCTATCTCTTATAGTTTCGGAGATATTCGCATCGAAAGAGAAAAACCGATTTTTTTCACAGGGATGTTTCACCCCCTAAAAGCACGTTAGGGCACGTATAAAAAAATACGTATCTCTTAGTTTTAGCTGGAAAACAACATATTCAAAGCTCATCCAAATCGGAGGACGACACTTTGAAACGGTCCCTTGTTAGATCAACATTTTTCTCAGTGCAGGAGTGAAAATGTGGGAAGTGTAGAATTTGCGAGCCGCAATAAAGTTACACCGGAAATGTTAATCGCTGTTGTGTCTATCGTGCGCGGAATATTTTACTTTCTCGTCACCCACAAACTCCTCGAGTCCATAACTCGTAGCGGTCGAGCGTCAGCCGTGCGCAATTGAACGAAACAGCACACTTTGCGTGTCTCTCGTGGCGATGAATTCTCACGTGGCCAATCGAGAATGTGGCGAAATCGAGCGTGCAATTCAATATTTGTGTGAAACGAAATCGAGCGACAGGTGTCTGCTTTTCATCGAGGCAGATCGATTGTAATTTTGAACTTATTTTTTCTAATTCTTGAAACGAGAGAGAGGGAGAGAGAGAGAGAGAGAGAGAGAGAGAGAGAGAGAGAGAGAGAGAGAGAGAGAGAAAATGAACACCGAGATTAAGGTTCATCTACATTGGTAAAATTGGAAAGAAGTGGGTCAGGGAGAGGCGTGTACCTTCGCTATAAACCTGCACTACCTGTTTGATAGGCTACAAGCGTACAGGCGGAATGTGCGAGAGGGGACGGGTCCTCTTCAGAATGCAAGATCCAAGAAGAGTCGGTCGTACTGTACAATCTTGTCGAAACGTAACAGCGGTTTTCCCGCGTTCCCTCGGATTCGGGACGGGCTGCACGTGTCAAATCGGACGAGTAATTTCACGCTTCGTCAAAGACCCGCGCGAGGTGTCGTTTCAAACGAGACGAGAGTCGCGGTACCCAGCGGTGCTCCAGATAAATCGCCGTTGTCAGCTCTGGACGACCAAATAAACGGCGCGCGCAATTTATGCCGGCGATAAATCCGGCAATAATTGGATCGTCGCAAAAAACGCACGCGGCGGTTCCGCAGAAAATCAAGGAGAGAAAAAAAATTATACCGTCCTCGGACGATTGCGATTTTCGAGTTAATACGGCGCGACGATGTATTATGCCGAATCAGACGATCGCTGGCCCCGCATGACGCCACTCGAGTGATTTCAACAATGCGCGCTCGTTTTTCTCCACATCTTTCTCTCTCTCTTTCGGCTCTCTCGCGAGTCATCTCGCACCTCGTGCCCGCGGAGACCGCGCCAGCGGTCCATTTATCTTGCCGATACGCGTACGAAATGTGCCGGCGAGGGAAAGCACGTACACCCGAGTGCGTTAACCCGGCCCGGGGGAGATGCGCCGCACTGTGTCATCCTGACGCGCGTCTGCGTGTAAACTCGCGGAGTTAACGCACTCGGCTGTATCACCTGCTCCACCGTGCATCATAGTAATTACGCGAGTAACGTGGAATTCATTCGTTAGTGCCCTCGGCGAACGACGGCGAATCAAACCAGTTTGCGTTAACGAACACCGCGCGTAAAAAAGCGCGGCGTTCCACTCGCGATCGTTAAAGCCTGCCCTACAATGTGCTCCTTGCGTCTAGAAACATTCTATTTTATGTAAGCCGATCAGTATTTTATATAAGCGGATCAAAACGCTTGGAAAATTGATCAACGATGTATAATGTACAATTTATTAACTTGCACCAATCTTTTAAATGTTCCACTCGCGATTGTTAAAGTCTGCTCTACAATGTGCGCCTTGCGTCTAGAAACATTCTATTTTATGTAAGCAAATCAAAATGCTTGGGAAATTGATCAACGATGTATAATATAATGTACAATTTATTAACTTGCACAAATTGTTTAAATGTATATTGACTGCAAAATATAATATTTCTAGACGCAAAGAGCACATTGTAGATTAGGCTTAAGAGCGTGCGGGCATAAAGAGAAGTCTTATCTCCGGTTTTCGGTGTACAGCTTCGAGAGTCTATACATATTCAGTTCTTACCGGCCGTAAAGAGACGTCTTAACGACGATTACTAAGAACGCGTGCCCGTTTGAAGCGGACTCCCCGGGATTATCTCCAACGCGATGCAAACGTAAACTGGAATATTGGCGCGCATTTCTTCGGTGTATCATGTGGAGTATGTTCGTATATACGGGCTTTTTGATTATTGCGCGAGTAATAAACGAAGAAATTATTTAAACGCGCCCTGTAAAAAGATAAAATTGCGCGTCCAGCTTAACTTGCAAATTTCATTTGTCATACGCGCTGCAAGTTTATGATAAGCTGAATGCACAACTCCATTTTTTTACAGATGCATTCAGTTTTCAATACGAGGTTCAAAATGCCTCGAGATTACGCTGTTCAATTGTGCGCAAAACATTAACACGCGCGTTGAGTCCCGCAGTTTTAAAACACTCGTTTCGCGATGCAAAATATTTAGAGCTCAAGCAGCGATATCGAGGAACTTCCAAGGGTGTGCGAGCGTCAATAATAAGTACTATTCAATACGTGTTCGCAATCGTGTGTGCCGGAAATGTAATGCATTCCGATACATCCGTTCAACGGCACATTGGTACGACAATACCGTGGGTCTCTCCTCTCTCTTCCTCTCCGTCGCGCGGTTAAGCCTCGGCTCTCGATGCATTATCATCTTGTTTACAAAACGTGAAGTGTCATACCCGTGACTTGCCGCGTATCGACTAGACGATTAATACCGAGTACTGTTATGCTGCGAAGAACTTTCCTGGTAATTCAACAGCTTTCCGTGAAAGAGTATCATTTAATTTATCTCCAATTCGTGGCGCGAGTTGTATTGTGTACGACAGAATTTCCTTGAAACTATCGACGAAGTCGACGGAAATGCGTTGCTCGTCGAAACACGTTGAAATATAACGTTAGGGTCTTTTTCAGTATTTTAATTCGCAACATTCTATCCTTATTTACAAATATATACATATATATATATACTTTTGCGCATGTTTCTAACCGTAACAATCTTTGTCGGTAATAGCACGTGTCCAAGCAATCTAACTGTTTCGTTGAAATAAGTGATACGTCTTTGTAAAACTACTAAAATGGTTATAGATTTTTTAAATGTACGTAATTTTTAAAATCAATTGAAGTAATTCCGCTAATCTATGAATAGAAAAATCGTGACTCGTAAGAACTATCTGTATCTAAGAAACAAAATTACTTTCGAATAAATCGAGAACTTCCTTGAAAGTAATTAGAGAATTGGTAAAAGTAACCTGAATTTTTCAGTAGCACAACGTGTAAATATAAGTGCGTAAATATGAATAAATACAAAAACAAAATGTAAGAAATTGAAAAACCTAATTTTTCTGACACAAGACGCCACTTAGCGATGGAAGGAGAGACTGATAACCTATACAACGCCCGACTTCAGAAGGTGCGAAGGAGACTTTTTCACGACGAAGATGACAACGACGGGAACGCGCAACAGGAACGCGAGGACGTTGACAATCGTTTTAAGGAGGAGATGCGAATACAACAGGAACAGGTGGGAAGCAGACGTTTCGTCATTTAACGTGTCGAACTTGAACGAGTGTTAAACTTTACGTCACAATTGCGCAATAATATCTCGATAAAGTACTTCTATGCGAAATATTGCAGAGTATTAGACACCGGTTGAAGTGGTTTAAAATTGAAATGCTTATTGATGCGTAGAAAATGAAGAAGTGGAACTTTGATTTCGTGCACGGAAGGCCACTGCCTGGCCGTTACGAATGGGTCAGACTCGACGAGCACGGAAATGAAATTTCCGAATCCAACGAGACAAACGGGAGAATAAATTCCCATGAAAATGGCACGGAGGAGGCGAAAGACAGCAGGCAGATCGATGGGTCAAACGATCAAAGCGGCAAGAGAAACATATTGTGATACTATTTATTAGTAGATAGATAATAGCAATATTTAATGATATTATAATTTTTTCGAGCATGACAAAGACTACGTAAATCTTTGTATATGTAAATCATTTTTCACGAAGAAGGAAACTATTTATGAGTTCTTTTCGAAGATTAGGACGACTTTTTATACGAGCAGAGAGAGAGAGAGAGAGAGAGAGTAGTAAGCGCAAAGTCTTATTAGCAGATGTATTCAATTATGTTTAAAATGGCAATTTATAAATTGGCGTTTATAAATTGGCGGTTTATTGAATTCATTTGAATCGGTCTCTTAAATTTCTAGTCAAAGGAGGCGCGATACCAAGCTTGCTTTCAAGAGAAACCAAAGTTAAATTTTAATTAATTAATTAATTAACTTATTGAGAAATCGGAATAGAAGCAACCTGAATCGCGCATGATTTGGTATCTAATTAATCTTATCTACGTTAGTTTTACAACGCGACATGTATTATTTAATTTAAGTCGTGTGAAACGAATGTGCAATACACATTATTATATACATAAGCACTTATTATTATATACTCAATCGATATTTTTAGCGCTCTCTTCTCGTATAACAATTGAGTAGCTTAGAAAGATGAGATTTGTATCAAAATATATACATAATATATTTCTACGAGATAATAAAATAATTGAGAGCATTTTATTATACCCGTTCCCTCTCTCCTTTTTTCCTCATTTCAATGCGCGCAATAAAGAGAAGAGAATAGTTGTACGCGCTTGGCATTGCTGCAACTGATTGTACGTAAGTTATTCGTGACCTAATTTACACAACGCCAAGCTGAGACATCTGCCTCGCAAGTGAGGCGTATCTTGTAGCACTTATTAAATCTCTAGTATCGCGGCGAAAAATTGTCTTGAATAATATCAACGCGCACTTTCGCGGAACGCAATTCGCCAAAATCTCCTTATTAATTACAGATTAACCCCCATCGTCGGAGTCAATTTGACTCTTTTTTTTTAAATTCATTTGACTGCAATTAAAAATATTTATTCACTATAAGCTAATAACGGTATTAAAATACATCAAAGTGCATACAATAAAACTTCAATTAGCGTTCAATTCGATGTATCTGCAGCGTCAAATTGACCCTAACGTCGGATTTGAGTTTTCAAGTGAACATCCGATGAGGGTTAAATGCTACAATATGCAAATCATCTTTAATTATTACTTCGTATTCGCGATTTCGCGCCAGAGCCTTATGGATTTTGTTTGTTCATCCTTAATTGTTGCCCGTTTATTTCCCATCGGGGTACGTTCGCCGTACGAGAGTCGATACCACGAGTATCACGATTTCGTTGAAATAATCCAGAGTATGCCGTGAGAAGGCGCGAGAGAGCGCGTTGCACCTGGCATCGTTTCTTTAAAGATCGTTTTTTCTTCGCGCCGCTCCGCCATGGAAGCTGGCCGCCACCATCACGGCCGTACCAGCCAGAAATTGCACTTCCGTTCTGCGAATTCCCACGGAAGTGGGCACAATCGCGACGACGACAAAGGATATCGCCGCGCGCAGCGTATACCACACGCATTATTCTGACCGAGCATTGAGAATCCTTCCCGGTAAAGAGCCTTCCGTGAACGCGAATCACGATCACAGATGTCTTCGAAGCGAGAAACTTTTCGAACGTCTACGTACGCTTCCTGTTACGAGTCGTAAAAAAAAATCGTACGCACCAGGTTGACCGAAGTCAAGTTTAACCGATTCGTAATAGTTTATTAATCCGATCCGACGTGTGTAAACTGGCCGATTTATCGCTCGCTCGGCGCGAAACGTTCATCCCGCCAGACACCGAAGTGTCTCGGAGGAAAGTAGCCGGCATCTGCGGAACAGTGCACCCGTTCTCAGCCTCGATCCCGATTCACCACCTTGAGCTCGATAAAAGTGATTTATCTCGGCTCGCAGCTTTTGTCCCCGGTTGACGCTAGCACGCGATGAGATAACGCGCTGGCGGCGGCGGTGGCGGCGGCCTCAGGTAAGAGCCCCCAGGCTTTGATAGCGAAATGATGAAACAGGTGACTCTTTCGGTGGTAAACACGCGATGCAGATGCGGCCGTGCGCCTTCCGGTCGCGCGCCTCGCCTGCGAGCAAACAGCAGCTTCCTTTGAAAATAATCTGGCTGGCTTGCAAACACACACCGCGATACCCGCGCGCTATCCGTGAGGCGAGAATGTTTGTTTCTCTTTTTTTAATCGTCAGTAATCTACGCGACACATACAAATAACACTTTGTCGATAGCTACATAAATTAAATAACGTTTCGACAGTCGTGCCTGAAATTGTGAAACACGGAAACGTAACGAACAATGGATCACTTATGATTGCACTACGCGCACAGTAGTTTGAACAGCATAGATCTCTCTGTTCACCAAATTCGCCGAGGAACCTGCCAACGTTATCTGGCAACAAATATCGCAGGAAGTAGATAGTAGACCTCTCGCTTCTATTGTGGATTACAAAGCGCGACCTGTGCAACCAGACACCTCGCTGAAATGCACTCCTGCGGTGGACAATGAATGAGAGACGGTGGTCTCTTCCCCTTACCCCCCCCCCTCCCTCTCTCTCTCTCACTCTCTCTCTCTCTGCGAAAACGCCGAAAGAATTGTTTTACGCGAGCCCGTTCGCCCGTCTCCCCTCATTGAAATGCATCCGGTGTCACCCCTTACCACTTCCTGGATGCTGCGTGGGATTTTGTTTCCTCGGAGCGCGGCGCGCTGCACCGACACCGGGGTTTGCGTGTCGTGGTCCCTCTTGCTCGGGGAATTTTAATTAAAGATAATCTTAATTAAGAATACGCGAAAGGAATAATTTTTAACGCTACTTTTACCCGCAAAGAGCGCAAAATAGTGACCGCGCGATACAGAGCATCAGGCTGCATCCTCCGTTTTAATTTTGCAGACGCGCCATCGAGAAGATGATTAAGATTTTGAAGAAATGGTGACGTACTCACAAAAATGTAAGTAACCACGATAAAAACGATAATGATCGTAACTTGAAAAGATCGGATAAAAAAGTTTGTTACATCGCGTCTATATTGCAAACTCAAGACCGTGTAAATTTTTCATGTTAATATCATATTAATCTTTCTTGTAACTTCTACGTTTGTCCGATTTCTTGCCTACTGTCTGCGAAATATAAGGGGCGGGAACAGACTTTGTAGACACCCTGTACAAGTAATCTAGAAAATTCGTTTATACCACACGCGCCTCCTTTCTAAAAAAAGATTTCGCGGTCTCTGGCGTCAAGTAATTTAGCGTATTCTAGAATCTCAGAAACAACGCGCGTGACGATTCGACGGGCACTTTCCGCTACATTTAATCGTTAATCGAGCCGGGATGCCAGGTGCACTGAGGAGAAAAACGTGTTGAATCAAGAAAATATTTTTTAATTCAACGATACGCTGTGTTCACGGGCTACCAAACAAATGTTAATTAAAAATACTATATGTTTCTATATCTAATACTAAATGTTGAACTAAAACATATATACATCTATTTAAACTAGAGAAATACCAGCTAAACATATTTAATAATGTCAACCATTTTTTTCTCAGCGTGGGAGAAAGATAGTGTCCTCGAACGCACGTTTGAATATTCGAAATACTCGCGCCACGTTATGGCGGCCAGGCACCGCATATACGCGCACGCACACACGTCAGCGGGACCAAGCGCCGCGTGGCAATCTCTCTTTCTCTCTCTCTCTCTCCCTCTTTCCCTCTCTCTCCCGCCCTCCAATCGGACTCCGGGATCGTTTATGTACGCTCCGCTCGCCGCGAGTTGCGCCGCCGAGCGTCGGCGAGCGCGCGGAGCTCGTTTCCCGTAGGTATCCGTCCCTTCGTGCGCCGCGCGCGCGCGAGACGAGCACAGCGGAGTAAAGTGACAATTATCAATGAAAAGTCTCGATTCATCCGGTTGAACTTATGTCATCGCACTCGGCGGCGTGACGCGCGCGCAATCGTCGCGACGCGCTGCAGTTTTATTCGCAGAATCGAACGGCGCGCGTCGCGCCGAGGGATCGGCGGACGGCGGGGATTCTTCGAGCGAGATTTTATGAATTAAAACCAGGGTTGGGAAATAACTCGTTACTTGTAACGGAGTTACAGTTACAGTTACTTCTTTTTGGCAACTCTAACTTAACTTCGTTACTTTTTCTCCACTTCGTTGCTTTTAACTCGCGCGCAATGATTAGGGATACAATTTGGGGTTTGAACTCGCGCGCGATTGAGATTTAATTCAGTTTCTTTACAATCTCGCATACAGTCGCGAGAAAATGTAGAAAAGAATATCCCGACTTTTGGCAAATAAAAAGATATATACAAGTAGTTTTAAATAAATTTGTATGCACTTCACCATCGTGGTCAAGAAGGACCACTTATCCCGTTGAATCTTTCGTTGGGCCAGATTGGATCTACCTTTTGTTGCTCCTGGCCATATAATCTGGTCACATATTGACCAGACATCAACGAGAAAGAGGAAAACTCTTTCTATTGTTGATTTATTATCATTATCGACATTACGAACGATTCGATCGTAAGTACGAGCGCCAATCGTATAAACAAATGCACGGTAATGAAAAGTTAATTAAAAAAATATATATATTTGAAAATTTAACTCCATAAAATTGACCGAATATATTTTAACTAATTCCGTTATATAATTAAGAATATAAATTGATCGTTTCTCTGTGACCGTTCTTTTAATTTGGAGTTGTAAGCGAAACATATACTAGGAACAAATTTTATTTCGCATTATACGTACTAATTTCAATTGTATTCAGTAAAAATTTGGAACACGTATTATAGGTGAAATTAAAAAAATCAATAAAGAAATCTAGAATTAATGTTAAATAGGCAATGTGCCTATTTAAATTTCTAGATTTATTCACGAGAGCCTTCTTAGGATAGTCAATAAAGAAAATTAATTAATGGAAAAACCGACCGCAAAAACCGACCGCGACGATGTGTGTAATTGTGCATGTCGTTCATGCAATACGCATCTTGAATATACATAGATCAAATCAAATATAGAAGATATTAAATATAAATGGATAGGTTACAAAAGATTAGCTCGACAAATACAGCAAAACTATATTTGCCAAGCCGTATTTTACATAATTTCTGCGACGTGTTTCAACAATTCTCAAGACGGAAAGTGAATTCAACAATATCTTGATATATAGAGTTTCATCAAGATTAAAAGAATGTAAAACAAAATGAAACCCGTAAAACAAAATGAAACCCGTTGAACGCCAAAGGCCTCGCTGTACACTGAAAAAAATTGCTGGTTGAATATGGACGAATCAGATAAATTCCTTTAGGATTTACCAGAATTCCTTTAGGATTTACCAGAATTCCTGTAATCCTACAGAAATTCTGGTAAATCCTAAAGAAATTCTGGTAAATCCTAAAGGAATTATCTGATTCGTCCATATTCAACCAGAAATTTTTTTCAGTGTAGGAAAGAATGAATCCCAGATCTTCCGGATTGCCTCCGATAGCGGTCATTTCGGCAGGGAGTTAACGACGATCGTTTCTCAAATCATTGAATCTCGTATATTTTCATTTTGTTGAAATATAAATTTGTAACCTATCCATAGGTAACGAATTTACAGAATGTAGCTACAAACTACCATCTA